TTTCTTTCTCGTTGCGATCTTGTTTGTTCTTCTGTTAATACTGGGTTGGGGAAGGAATTGGATTCAATGACAGGAACTTCTGATACATGAGGAACAGCTCGATCAGATTCAAAACTGTGATCTTACCTGTAGATTCTTCACGACCAAATATTGAACTGTCCCCTGTTGGAGCCAAATGTTTTAAAGAAACCGTAACTTCCTTCCCATTTGCCCGTCGGATTAAAGCATATTCTGGATTTGCCTCAATCAGATCCACTTCTTCGACCAATGGACTGTACTTGGAAGTTCGTACATGACTCTTCATTAGTACCTTTCCTGGATTTGCTAACCAAGAAGGTATAGCTATTCCATTTGTCGAACGACGTGCATGGGAGAACATCCTTTCGTGAGGAGTGCAATTTATAGATGTACATAAAAGGGAACGTATGGCATGTAATGATTCTGGCAAAACTTCTTCCCATCGCGAAGTCTCTAATGCCTTATTCTTCATAGCCAAAGACATGGTTTTCCATAAAATTCCATTATACCGTTCGACAAGTCCGTTGCCCTGAGGGTTATATGGAGTAGATGAACTCGTAGCGATGCCTTGTGTATGAAGATAGTTAATGAGATCTTTCGAGAGAAATGATGTTCCTCTGTCAGAATGAATATATGCAGGAGTCCCGAATATAGAGAAAAGATTGTAAAGGTTTGTTTTAATCGTAGCAGAGGTCATATCCCGACAGGGGTAGGCAAAAGGAAATCTTGTATATTCGTCAACAATAGTCAAAATATACGTATTCTTAGTGTTAGAAGGGACTGGTCCTTTAAAATCTACATTGAGCCTTTCGAATGGTCTTGTAGCTTTAATCAGATGATTTTCTTGAGATTTATAGAATCGAGGTTTCAATTCTGCGCAAACGGGACATGCAGAAGTGATTTGTTTAATTTCTTCTAAAGAAAAAGGTAGATTCTTTGATTTGATCCAGTGATACATTCTGGTAACTCCTGGATGACACAGAGATTTGTGTAAATTATACAATTCATCGTGATTTGTGGCTCCACAAATCCTCGATAACGTGTCAGCTACTTTGTTGAGAGAACCAGGACGATATGAGATATCAAAGCTATAACAAGACATCTCTAGTCTCCATCGCTGAATTTTATCGTTTTTGATTTTACTTGTATGTTGCAAATTGAACATAAACGACAATGCTTCCTGATCAGTAATAAGTTTGAAATGTCGATTGCACAAAAAATGTCTCCACTTTCTAATACTCTCAATAATAGCAGTAGCTTCTTTTTCTATTGCAGGGTACTTCTTTTCACTTTCGGTAAGAGTTCTAGTAAAGAAAGCAACAGGACGTCCGTTTTGTGTGAGAGCTGCAGAGATAGCAACATCTGAAGCATCTGTTTCGACAACTAGAGGAAATTTCGGGTCCACACATACGAGTAAAGAGTTGGCAATATCTCTCTTAAGTTTTGAAAAAGCTGATGTGGCTTCTTTTGATAAAGGAAACGATTTGCTATTCATCAGAGGACGAATCTTTTCAGAGAATCGTGGAATCCATTTCGAGTAATAAGCAAACATACCGACTATTCTCTGTAAAGATCCTTTATCACTAGGCGGAGAAATTTCCAACAAAGGCTTCAAACGATCGGGATCCGGTTTGATCGAACCTTCACTTATAAGATGTCCTAACAGTTTAATGGAAGTAGTAGAAAATTTACTCTTCTTCTCGTTTAATTTGATATGGTATTTCTTTGCTACTTCAAGGAATTTATTAAGATTTTCGTCATGTTCAACTTTATTACGTCCGCCAATTGTAATGTCGTCAATGTAACAATGAACGCCGCAAAGTTTTTCAGTGTCGACTATTTTATCAATAAATTTTTGGAAAGCCGGTACCCCGTTAGTGACACCAAATGGAAGTCTTGTAAATTGATACAGTCTCCCGCAAGCTTCGAATGCCGTAAACGGTCGTTCATCAGCACAAATGGGAACTTGATGGTAGGCCGACTCAAGGTCTATTGTGCTAAAATGACTATATTTGGCTACTTCCGAGATCACCTCCTCCACACATGGTGCTGGGTAAGCATCTAATTCGGTGAATTTGTTTATAGTATTTGAATAATCTATGACCATGCGTTTTTTATGATTAGCATTTTTAGTAACTATTACTTGGGCCCTCCATGGAGAGGAACTCTCCTCAATTATTCCAGCTTGAAGGAGCTTGGTTACTTCTTCCCTGATGAATTCATTATCTTCTGCTGAATGTCGTCGTGACTTTGTTGCAATAGGTTTCACATTAGGGGAGAGGTTTGAAAAAATTCGAATTGGTTCTATATTTACATGAGGAAACACTGTAGCGCTAGATATAGAAAGGGGCGGATTGGGACCACCAAAATTAACATCAAGTCGCGAATGCGATTTTAAGATATCATGGCCCACAATAATATCAGCACATAAGTTTGGTAAGACTAATAGTTTGGTGTTTATATACATGTGATCTAATATTTTCAGATCTATTTTAACACATCCTCTTACACAAGATGACAATGAGGTAGATGCCATGGATACTGTAATTGTACCTTCAGGGAAAATTTCAAACCCATTAATAATTGTAAATTTCTCATTGATATAACTGTTGGAGCTACCAGTGTCAATTAGGCATTGTGCTATTTTTCCATTAATGTTTGCTACTATAGTAGCTTTAGATAGAGTTGGTAAGGAACTAGCCCCAACAATACTTGCAATGAATGTTTCTTCCAAGGATGATTTGGGTTCAATTGAATCATTAAGAGCTGCAGAAGTTTTAACAGTTCTATTAGTCTTCTTGGAAAGGCATACTTTTGGATAATGTCCAGCTTTAGTACAGTTCGTACAGATAAAATCACGAGCTGGGCAAACAGAGCGCGGGTGACGAGATCCTCCACAAAAGTAACATTTGTAAGTAGTTCCAGAACGTGTTGAATAACATTGGTTATTAGATATTCCATCAGAATTTGATGTACTTGTGTACGTTTCTGAATTTTTAATTGCTCTTTCAATTGATCGAGCATTTTCTTCTGCTTCATCTAGTTCAAGGGACTTGTTCTCTAAAAGTCTCTGTCGTATGTTAGATGAAAATAAACCTGCAATAAAGGCGTCTCGAATGTAATCTTGTTTGTTTTGTTCAGCAGATACCGCCTTAAAATGGCATTCCTTGGCTAACGACTTGAGAGCAGTCAAATACTGATCAATTGATTCTGTTGAGAGTTGTTTTCGAGTTGCAAGTTGATGTCTAGCATAAATCAAGTTTTTCGGTTTCACATAAAGGGCTTTAAGAATATCTATAGCGGCTTGGTATGTTTTACAATCGTTAATGTATTCAAATACGTTAGAAGATAAAAAATTTGACAGTACCTGCAACTGATCTTCGTCTTTCACTACATATTCGGATCTTTCAGTGAAGTTTTCGAATAGTCGAATCCAATGAAGCCATTCTTGTTGAGCCGTAGGACTATCAGGGTTTGAAGAAAACTTGTCTGGTTTAAAGAGCTTTTCCATTTTATTTTATTTGATTAAATTGTAATAAATTTACCATCAAACTTTAGGCTTTAATCAAATAAAAAATATGACATTAATTAATCAAAGCTGTCTATATAATATTAGCACACGAGGTATGGCACGACGCCAGTGAATACGCCTGACTTCATCTTTTGGGAAAGAAAACGTACTCACCTAGTTTCCTTTCGAGGAGAGGTAATTGCTTTTACAACCTGGTACCCAACATTTTTGTGGCATCCTAAAAAAGTATTCTAGATAGCATATATTTAACATACATAGTAGGTGTTAGTAGCTGTGCGTTTTTGCGAGACTGATATATGGCTAATTATTTCAGTCAACTCTGTCAAATAATGGAAGTGCGATGTGATTCTGTTGAGGAGCATTCGTATCAATTTCAGACGATTGTGTAAGTTGTAGACAGCTGCTAGCAATGTGCCCCTTCCTCTTACAGGAGAAGCAAATCAAGTCATAGTAAGTGAGAAACATTCTGTAGGATATGTTTTCATGATTGATAAGTATAGTAGTGGAAGTCTTTGTGGGGGTGATATAAATTTGACGCCTGAAACTCATGATATGACGGTATTCTGTAAGAAATTTGAGTGGGTTTTTGTATTGCGGTGCTGTGGCTTGGGGTTGTTGTGGTAGTCAAGAAATTTTCTTGTGAATCTTGACTACTCCTGTAGTCAGAATGTAGAAAACTGAAAAACTAAAATGCGTGCAAGCGTTTTTCATAGAACCTGAAAAATGACAAATTATTACGGGTGGTCCATACTTTTTGCCGCACACACTGAGAAAAATGTTTATTGTTGGTAAATATATATTCACTGTTCCTAAATAAAAAATATATTAAAATATGGGACAATAATACAGTTCATTTCTAGTCGATAAACAAATTTTTCTGACACAAGTATTTGGGTTAATTGTTATAAATTGTTTGGGGCAAATAAAAACTTTTATTAAAGGCGTCTCGTTTATGTATTTGCCCGTATTACTTAAGCATTAGCCATATATATTCTATATTTAATGGTGGTGATTATAGTGTGTCATTGTAGCTAATATGCTGTTTATTAATAGTGAATATTAAGTAATTCGTGGTAAATAGCTACAGTATTAATTGCAGATGGATGCATCATTTGACATCATTATCCTGCATATTTGTCTTTATTATTTAAATATTAGCCATACATTTCGCGTATAATTACGCTAAATGTTCGAGTTATTACGATTAATATGGAGCTTAGTAACAGTAAAGGATAAGAAATTGATGATAGATAACACTATATATTACTTCCAGATAGTGGGATATTTATCATGATCAGTATTACATTATTATCATTAATCAGTGTTTTTAACACCAAATAGCTGGTGTATTAGTACCTAATAAAAGAATTATTTACAATAAAATGTATATATTTTGAGCTTAAAAAATAGAAAAGTATAAAACAAAATTATCTCGTATAATGCAGAAAAAATAAACAAGTATTACTTTTTAAAACTAAGTTAAAGCTAACATTAATTTAATTTGAATATTTTATAGAAACAAAAACTACTTACAGAAAACTAAAGTATTACATGCCTTCTATAAAAATTATAACCTAAAGTAATCTCCATTTAAACAGAACAAATAATAAAAACTATATAAGTAATTATACAAAAATGCCCCCAAACAGTGTCACATATTTTTTGTTTGATGCAGATGAAATGATAAGATTTGAAGTGTAACAAACATTGGAATCAAGAATTCGTTTTGTTACTTTTGTATTAGTGCAAATTTCAAAAGAATGTATATGTTTATTGAATAGTATTGTTTTATATTCTTCATAAATAAAACAGATTTCCTCTTGAGAATTTACTATTATATGAGTTATACAACCAAATATTGGCAACTCCTTTGCTGCAATACAAATTATACTACCAATTTCATAATTCGAGTTATTAATTTCAATTTTTTTGCAAAATTTTACATCATCTTTGAAATTGTTAAAAGAACATGTTGATGTCGATTCCAGCATATTGAAATTTGGCAAAACAGATGTAATTATAGTGGGATTGCTATTCTTATAATTAATGCTATTTGAAAAACCTTGTTTTGAATTTAGCCTATGAACCAACTTTAATTGATGCTTAAGAGCTAAGCTATAAGTAATATTAATTCGAGATGCAATTACATTAGCACTTAGTTTTGATTCTCTGTGTTTTGATTCAAATCGTAACGAAGATAAATGTTTTAATGGTCCAACTTGTTTCATTATAAAAGGATAGTGAACTAAATTATGGTATTTGGGTTTTAATGTTGTATTAAATAATTCCTTATAAAGACTGTGGTGTTTAGCAATTAAATCTTTTAGTAAACAACAAGTTTCATTAGTTACAACATCTGCTAATACAAGATCTATTATTTTTCTTAACAACAAATAAAGTTTCCAAAATTGGTTATCTTCAGGGACAATTGCTCCTAATAGCAATCCGCCATATAAAATAAAACATTTCATCTCTGCACATGACATTCTTAACTTTTTTTTCTTCAAATTTTCTAAACTAATCAGAGGTGGCTTATTACTTTCTTTTCCATAATTGAAATACTTAATTCGAGTATTTATAATTTCAACAGAAAGTATTTTATCCACAAAAACAAATTGATATAATATCTCCGCTATATCATATGCTGCTACTCCTTCGAAAATATCGTGGGATATGTCAACTGAGTAATTTTCAGTAACATGAAAAGACTTAATAGTATTAAAAACACATTCCTCCTTTATGCCTGTTTCACTGATATTATTAACATGAACATCTTTTCTGTAATTGTTCTGATTTCGCATCTTATTGTCACATTGGATAACTAACTTTTCCATTTCGACACGACTACATTTGCAAAATCTACAGTAATAATTGGATCGAAAACTTTGGGTAAATCCTAACATTGTGTTTAACCCTAGATTATCTCCTAAGAGTAAAGCAATAGAAAAATAGATCGTATAATATTTATTTGAAATATTTACTGTTATACCGCTCGATTCTAAGTGATTACAGTCTTCAATTAATTTTGAAAAAATAATTTTACTTCCGAAGTCCTTTAAGTCCGAGCTATGAAATAGAAGACATAGAAATATATTTTCTAATTTTGCTCTATACCTGATAGGTAAAAATGGGAGGGAAAAATAAACAGCTCCCAGTTTGTGAATGCCCGAATGGGATCCTAATGGATTTCCGCTTTCATATTCGTCAAAGTATACAAACAATGGTAGAACTAATGATCTGGATTCAAAACCCTTTATTTTATTTTTCCAAAATTCGGTTTGAACTATGTTTGATATTACTAATTCAGAATTCAGTTCCTCTAAATATTGCAAAACTTCCAATAATACATTTGGTAGAAGAATAAAATGTTTTAAAACTTTATGAATTGGAATATGTTGAGCTTTATAAATTTGTGGAGTAGCAATATTATTTTTAAATCTGTCATATCGTTGCCCAACTGTATATGCTTCAGGAGGAATGAAGAGCTCGGACTTTTCTAAAAACGCAAATCGTTTATGTTCAGTGGCAAGACTTTGAAATGTATTTTGAAATTCATGCAAAAACTTATTCAAACATTTAGAATCTTTTTCAGAAATATTGTATTCGCTAATCACGTTTGACAGGTATGTTTCAAAAATACGTAATGGCTTTTCAAATAATGTTTCCACTTTGTCAATTACACACTGCACATGTTTTCGTGTTAATGTTGTGTTCCCATATAAATCAGTTACAAACAATAATGTATTATTTTTAAGTTCATTTTGAAATTCTAGTAACAGATTATCTTCAATGATCATATTTTGTGTTTTTGAAGTGTCAGTGGTGCTACTATGGTCTATTAAAGATGATGTCTCAATAATGTTAGTTATAGGTATATTAATGCTGTTAATAGCAATTGTATTAGAAATGGAGTTAGTTCTATGGTTGCCATGCTTTTTACTTAAATGTTTCTTAAAGGAATTAAGGGAATTAAAGTCCCTATAACACTGAAATTCGTTACAACAAAATTTACTGTTATCTGTTAGACCATGTAAAAGTCTCAAATGCACTATTAACGATTTAATGTTATTAAAATTAGCCTGACATTTATTGCAAGAAGGCATTTTTTGTATTTATTAAACTAATGTAAGTTATTCAAATGAAAATTAATGTCTGAAATGACGCTACTCGTACTTCCTACTTTGTTACTAACACTAGTTTTAAAAACAAGTTCCTGTACAAAGTACCAGACGTGTTTCGATTCACTAGGGTACTCTAAATTCAAAGCGTGAAAACTTTTATAAAGAAGTTCAAGGCACCTTATTCCACTTTCACATGTATATTTATTACCATTAATAAAGACATAAAATGCCCTTACATCTTGGCAGTCATCTCCAACAATTACTCCAAAAGGTTGAAGGGGTAGATCATATGAATGGAGCTTCTGTTTTCTTCTTTCCACTATACTGCTTGCTTCAGCAAATTCCTAAAGAAAAGCAAGTACAAAGTAGGTATATTATACAACACTTTTGCTTTTTTTGTACCAACCTGGACATTGAAAAGAAAACTTTCTTGTACTTCTGACCTTGATGGTCTCCAAATTCCTCTTTTTTTTGAATTCCTAATAGTAACGGGCGAAAAAAGGTATGGTAGAACTAAAAGTGCCTTGGAGTTAACATCTGGAAAAATATACGTACCATGTAAGTGTATATATATGTTCCGGGCAAAGTAATTAAGGCGGTCATTATTCATAATGCCCGATCAGTGTGAATAATTAGTAGAGGATATTTTTTTGCACAGCTCCCGGCATGATTTTTTTAAAAACTCATTAACTTCTCAGATTCATAATATTAGCAGAAGTACTATGCAATCAAAAGAGTTGTCTCAAGTCACCAATGGAATTTTTGTTTGCATGGGAAATCAAATTTAGTTTTAACTTCCAAAGGCGACATTTCTTCCCCTCAATTATTCACATTGACCGGGAATTATGAATAAAGACCGCATTAATCAGGGCGAGTTTTTATATAGCATCATTCCAGAAATCTGAGAACAAACTACCTACTAAGAGTTTGTTAAAACTATTTGCACAAGTAACTCTGAAAGGGGAAATTAATCGAGAAATTAATCTGCATAAAATTCCCTGATATATCTGTTTCCAATTTAAGTTTCCACAAGTGTTCCTATTATAAGAAAAAGATATTTCTGGATGTAAACTTGTGTACTTACCAAAAATTTAATACACAGTTGACATCCAGAAATGTCATTTAGATACTTTATATCTGTTAAAATCTGTATGCACAAGTAAACATTCTTTGAGGGGTGTTTCCTTGCAAAGTATAAGAATAAAATTGTTACCTTTTATAACATCCTCTTTCAGAATAAGTTGTCTTTCTTTAGCTTCAATGATAATTGCCTGGGCTATTTTTGGCCACTCTGAATAAATTATATCAATTTTTTCTTCATTACTATGGTTGAAGTCTGATTCCAACTACAACAAACCACACTACTAAAAGAAACCGAAACATATTTTAATAATACTCACTAAAGTTATTCCATAATGTAGACTTAAACAAGGGAATTCTTTGTATATATCCTCTAATTCATAACTTTTGCATTTTCTTTGTCTGATTAAGTATGTATCTTCCCAATAACTTAAAATTTTGTCAAATGGTTCTACTGCTACTTTGAGAAAAGCTATTTTCTCCTCCTCATCATAACTCGTATTGGAAGTAGAAGGTACGTTTTCTTGTTCCACGTCTGCATTAGCAGCATTGACCAATCGCAATGCAGCCTTTAAATTAATATACCTAGACCATAATTTTCCACGTGCAGGTTGACGTCTTAGTCCCTTTTTTGATGATGAATAAGGAATGTAGTATGTATGTTCAGATTCTCCTGGAAACAACTCTGCAATCTCTTTTGCAGCTCTCACAAATTGTAAAGTATTTATTCTAAAATACACAGTGATGGAAAAAAACATAATATGTTGTCAACCTTACTCTATCCTGGATTGACCTTCGGAACAATCTAATAAAGACCTTACAACTATCTTAGCAATTTTTGATCGTAAGTCATTATTCAATTTTGCTCTGTTTGCTAGAATAATTTGTCCTTCAGGTGTACTGCGGAATAATTGTTCTAAACTCTAAAATTATTACAATAATTACAACACATAAAAAATAAATGACAAGGTATGGTGCAATGCATTTACCTTATTTTTTGGAGAGTCTGTACTGCTTCGTTTATTTACGTAGTCCTCAGTTCTATCTTCTAAAATTCTTTTTGTAGCATTTGAAGATTCATCAGGAAAACTTAAAACTTCTAAAAGCTCTTTATCGGGCTCAAAGAAGAAGATGTCGGATTGACTACTTTCTGTCTCGGTTGACGCTGAGGCAATTGATGCAGAAGTAGTAGGTTTTGATATTGATACATCTAGACTAATTTGTTGCGCCTTCTTTTGCTGCAGATATTCCATATACCTTCTTTTGAAAAGTAGGCGAGGTCCGCTCTTGGGAAACAAAATTTGAATCGTTTCACCGTCCAATATATCGAAGCTTTCGTCATCAATGCCCTGTTCTAGGACACAATTAATTAATAGCAAAGTGTTATTTGCATTTGCAATAAATTACAAAAACATTTTTTAATAATGAATGAAGAGATCTTTCAAACGATATATTGAAAGCAAATACTTCTCATTTAACAAATTGGGAGTAATAACTGTTACTCGCGAAGGGGGTTGAAGGTATAGGGATCACATTTTCACGTTGAAGGTCAATTTATAATCTAAATCTCGCCTAAATTTTGACGTGTATGGGTGTTTTCTGCAAATACGCACAGTACCTAACCGATATAATGAAAGGTAGATATATAGATATTAGACCCCTGGCCCTATATATTTATTATACGGAGGGTAGTATGGTTTGGTGACTGGATAATTCCGAGGACAATTCGTAACAAGATTACATTGGGCATTTACGAAAATATTTCAAATCAGAACAAAGTACAAACTTGTTATGTTTGGGTGCATAATGCATAGGTACCTATACCGCATAAAGTATAAAATGCTGACGGTTTCGTCTGCAGAACTTATAAATAATGAAACTGAAAGCTGAAACCTTACACCAAAATCCTGTACCTATAATATACATTCAAAGAAGAGAAGTAATTGTGACGCCGTTAGATTTATTCTAATGGGTAAATTTAATTATGGACAAAAATAATAATGCACTTACCGTTAAAATGGGGTATATTGCACGCAAAACCCCACGCTTGCAATAAATTTTCGAACGAGCACATATTATAGTCAAGTACATAGACACAAGTTAAGTTTTACAACACGTGCAGACATGCGAAAAGACAATGACTGACTGCGTCTTTCTTGAATTAAAAACGAACCAATTGCGCATTTAACTAATAAAAAATTATTCATCTTTGATATTCAAGTATCAGTAGCTAATATATTAGTTATTACTGCCAGTATATTGTTTATTTGTGGCAAATAGTTTACTATTTGTGCTTAGTGTATGTAGATCAAGTAAAAAGAATTGCTGTTACGGCTAATCCTATATTAACCCTTAAGATGTGTATAATTGTCCCAAAAAAGACAAAATGTGCCGTGATTGACTTGTCTTAGAATTTTTGTTTGTTTCCCTACAATTAACCAAGTCATTTGGCTCTAATAAAAAATGTACTAACCACAATTAAGATAGTGTTAATTAAACTATTTATTTGAATCATTTTTCTCAGTGCAGTATATATGGAAGTACCTAGTTCAATTTCTAGTGCAGTTCTTTATAATTGCTTTAAATAACATTATATTTCCACTAAAATACTAAAATGGTATGAAAGAGAGCAATCTTAAAATTATTTAAAGGGTTTAAACAAAATACTAATTAAGCACCAGCCAAATGCAACAAAATTACAAAGTAACACCGTAATGAAAAACTCAGAAATGCAATTCTGATACATATTACCATTGAATCCCATTATATTCTCAGTTCAATCTCTGTCGCGCTTTATTTCCACGGGGTTATGCTTCTTATAGTGTTTTTATTCAATGATATTACTTTAAATGCAAAAACGTTAATACAGCTAAATTAAAATGGGGGAACTCGCAGTAACTGCAAAACTTTTGGTATTCGCTGATCACATTCTGTTTGCAAGAAACCTTAATGGGTGGCTTACGAATGCATCTCGTGACGAATTCTCTATATACGTCTAAACCTAATTAGTTATGGACTTGCAATTGACGTATAAAAGAAGCGTATCCTCGCGACAATGGTTCAGGTATATTTCAAAGGGGCCGCTCAGGTAGTAACACCACGCTTGAACGGTATTAACTTATGCAAAATCCATTTACTAAAATTTGATTTATTTGTATATTAAGGCCCCGAATACAAACAGGACGATTAACTTTCGTGCCAACGTAATCTAAACGGGTAGCCGTAGCCGCTACCTGTTTTTATTTCAAGCAATTAATGTAAACGTGACTATATTTGAGGAAAAAATTGAATCCTTTGTATCGCGGGCACAGAGCATAGCAGCGTAATGGCAATAAATATAACGTAATGTGCTTTTAGATGGAATAAGTTTTCGAATTCGAATTTAGAAGCTGCTTCGTAATTTTAAAAAGTGCACTTCTTTATGTAAATGTAAAATTAAAATCGTTAGTTTTGTCAAGTGTACAAGACAATTTAACTTAAATTGTGTTCGGTAATTGACGGAGGGAAAATTATTTCGTTTGAAAATAAATTTCTCATCCGAAATTTATTGCACATTTAACAAAGCAGGGGTACAACAATAATTTATGGGTTTATAAAAAGGTGAACGAGAAGAACATGTGTATATAATATTTCTTAAAATAATTAAAGAAATTAACAGTTTGACTTAAACGTGTCCCTAAAACACTTGCTGATAATAAATTTATAAATAAATAAATAACAGATGGTGCAGTACTACTGAAAACTAAACAACTGTTCAGAATTATAACTCTATTAACGTAGTTTACAGTAATAGTTTCAGTCAACGACTTCATTATTTATGATTATTGCGTTATATATTTATTTGGTTTTGTCGGCATATTAAACATTAAATATTCATTGTAATGCAGTAGCTACTCTGGGGTGCATTAAAAGTTCTGTGTGTGAAATGTCGATGATTGTAAATATATTTTCTACTCACCGAATGGATTAATTTACAAAAATATCGCCTACTCAATGGAGTTTGTCTCCTATTATTACAGATACAAAGGCGGATAATAGCAAATATTAAGCATTTCAAATAAGCTTCAAAAGTAGTCCAAACTGGATGTTGTCACTTTACTAAACGAGACCAATTCCATGTAAAAAATCCGCCGAATCCGAAAATCATAGTCCCCCTGACCGGAAACTCCTAGGACATATTGTTATAAACAAAAAACGAAGAAAAAAAGGAAAAATCTCATTTTTCGCATTTTACTTCAATGATCTCGTTAACTATTGCTCTAAGCGAAAAAATTAAGAGAAATGAATTTGTTTAGAATCAAATTTTGCACCGGTGGTTGATCCTCTGGGAAGTCAGAGCGGCGATTCAAGTACAGTATGGTGCAAAAGTTAAAGGGGAATCTCCCACAAGTACGGGTAAATATGACACGCTCCCTTGCATCCGCGGAACTGGACTAGGTACGTAGAACCTAGGGCGTTTTGGAAAATTTAGTCAAACAATCCACTACCAAGGGAAACGAGAATCGAGCTGGAAGTCGAAAGGCCGAAAACAGTATCACACCAAAAACGGCCTGGTTTCCTGCTGGCGGCCCAGATGTTCATTTGGAACATGCCTGCTTTCCCTGTCGGTGCCGGCGGCCAACATGTTAATGTTAGAACAGATTAACGACGTATATGGCTAAGTACAAGTAAAAGATACAAGGCAACTCTTACCTTGAAATAAAGTTAGATGTTGTCGCCCAGAGCTCAGTTCTCGTATCCAAAACCTAAAATCATAATGCTTTAAGGGCCTTGTTCTACTCGTAATCTGGTTCTATACCAGGTACGCTAAAGACTTACTGAAGTTTTTCCATTGATGATGATCAAATCTTAATATTAAATCTCCTTCATGACCCGTTGACCCATTTGACAGCAAAATGGTCGCTCGTTATCAGCAGGTGGAAAGATATGTCAAAGGTGTTGGCACTGGAAGGTATGGGTGAATTTAATCCAAGGTTACCAAACTCATATGTCGGTACTTAAAATTAAAATTGAACTGGTTCTTGAACTGGCACTAACAATTAAATCCCTAAAAGAAACCAAAGGTAACCCTCTTCCTTGAAATCCTAAAATGTACATGTCTCGTAAATAAGAGGGAAGTATATGAAGCAGCAATTGTCGATAGAAATTGCGATACACAAATATTAGCCGAAACCTAAAGAAAAACACACTTCCATACACGAAATGTAAATGGCGGTACATACGATAAGAGAGGAGGAACGCAAATTATATCCTCACAATGGGAGTTATAGGTGAATCCCGTCCAATTAGTTACTTCGGAATCCCTAAATGAATCCAATCGCCAAAGATGAATAAATATGGATGATGGCAATTAAAATTCCATGCTTTCTAACTTACGCTTCAACTGTTTGTGTAAACGAGCGTAACTCGATATGGTTTGCGCCAAAAAGATGAATATGAAGGTCGACAACAAAAAATCACAGCGCGAGTAATCTGCGGGGTTAAAATTCCAACAATAGGTGGAGCCATCTATCAAAATTGCTTTCAATAATACGGGTAATAAACCGTAAACAATAATAATTCTTTGTAATGGAAAAAATAAATCGTTACAATTTCCAACTGGATTCTTCAATGTTAAATAACTTTGTCGCTGTTTCAAAACATATGGAATGAATTAGATAACCACATAATAGTATATTAAGATACAAGTGTATAATCAAGTCTTTAAAGCACGCGCAACGAGTTTAAGGGCACGACGCAAAGCGGAGTGCCTTTAACGTTGCAAGTGCTTTAAAGACTAATTATACACGTGTATCTTATAGTATTTTTTATTATACCTGCAGTATAATTTAAAAATAGGGAATACAATGAAGTCATATTGACGTTATACTCGAATACGTGTCTAATTAAGTGGGCTGGGTGTTCGTAATTTCACGATTGCCATGGAAATGTCACTTGACGTTTGCTTATAAAAATCATCGTCTTTGTGAATTAAACGATTTCCGTCGAAAAAGATAATACACCGCCCATTAAATCGATTGTTGTAAAATCTAAACAAACGTTGGTAGGTGTAAACTCCAGTAAAGCCTATTATAAAGAATATGAAAAGTTGTTTCCATGGATGAATAGGAAGTTACTTACGAATACAGTCTTAAATGCATCCATAATGCTGGCATATATGAAGGAAATGTCAAAGGTATTTAAATCTTCTATATTTTGGTGCATTCATTCAAAACTTTAAAGCAGTGCTGCGATTAAAAAGTGGAACAGATTTGGAAGCATACCCTAAATTACGCGCGTTTGTGAAAGTTTCCACCAAAGGATAGGTACAAAAGCCAAAGAAATCTTCTGCATTTAAAGAAAGCGACCTAAGAGGATTTTTTATTTCATCCAAAAGTCATACTTGAAGTATCGTTACTTAGCAACTTTAAAGCACGTGTGTTTTAAAGGCCCTTTTTCGCACGCATTTGAGTGTGATTGTGATTCAGGTATAATAAAAAAACACATTTTATGGCTTTCTAAAGGTACTCTCGTAAAATTGGCACTATTTTTGACACTTTTTTACTAGAAGGTTGACTACCATAGTCACCTTCCGCCGCCATTTTCTTCCTTCTTTCTCGTAAAAACATTTATTGTGAAGTACATCCAAAAACACTACAATATTAAAATAATTTGTACATCGATAAAATTGATTAATTAAGCGCATGCTCGATCTTCTGGGATTTAAAAATATGCAAATTGAAACCAAACTTGAAGAAAGCGAAGAACTGACAATCATTATCCACCTTATCCACCACTTATACAACAACGTATGAATTAAACAACTACTCGCTGTGAACACCAATACTTTACTGTACCGGCCACTGTGATAAGAAATTTATTCCACGTTGTAGTTCTCAGTTTGGAGACTGCTCACCTTGAAATTGTCAACTCTCTAACTAACTTGTGTAACTGAAATTATGCAAAAGGGGTACAAAGATAGGCGTCCCTTTACTCATTTTTTACATTACATGCTCGACGCAATCCTTTATTTTTGAGTGAGCGGAGTTTCAAAAAAGGGTACTCTACCAACCTAACCCACTATAAATTTACAAAATATATCCATGCCCTAACCCGGATTCGAACCTTAGTACCGCAGTGCCGCTTCAACTGAACTGCGCT